CTTTCTGTAATGGTCATATAGAACTGTCCGTAAACAGGGGCGGATCCAGATGGGGTGGGGGTGCCAAATCCTACCCTGCTCAGCACCCCAAAAAAAATAATGCCTTGCATCAATGAAATTAAATCACAATATGATCCTTCATCATTATAAAAGAAAGTGATTTCACTCTTTAAAAAGCTGAATTTGTATGTATGCCTTGGGCGCCGATTCCGACTTTATTGCCAACTCAAAATATATACTGAGCGCCATAGTAAACGCATCACTTAGTTTTTCTATGGCGCTCAGTATATATGTTGGGCTCTATAAATATGACAAACTGGGATTTATTTCTTTTGTAAACTTTGAATTGATGCTGAACTCCAAATATATATGACATCTAAACTTGGACTTGAAGCTAAGCTCAAGATTTATATATGATCAACTCCAAATATACGACTTTCTTCTTGTATAGATGACAAACTAACTATAATATATTTGGAGTTGATCATGTATATTAATTTTGAGTTTACCATCAAGTCTAAGTTTACATGTCATATATACATTATATGCGGAACTTTCTAAATACAAGTTTCTCATTTTGGTGTGTTTCACATCAAAATAAGAAATAACGCGTCCGAAATTGACACACGGGATCACATGCTAGTGACTTTGATTGCGGCTCCACGTACTTGGAAACTAGGGCATTATATTGCCGCCCCAACACTCTGCTGCACCCCTACTTTTAAAATCCTACAATATCAATAAGGCCCTGTACACCGCACTACATTAACGTCATCTATGGTCCGAGTCCAGTATTGCCGACGCATAATATTATTGAGTCTTTTTAACTGTGGTTTAGGATTATATACTACGGTCATGTTAGACTCAATTTGGATCCAATAACCTCTCATCGTCATCTATATTTGACGTCAAAGCCTTACAAGTTATGGGTCGAAACGATTCCAAGACTCCAATAACAAAATAGCAAAATTTTAAGACCAGTAATCCGAGTCTAACTTAGCACGTATTTAGAAAGTTCCGTATATAATGTATATATGACATGTAAACTTAGACTTGATGGTAAACTCAAAATTAATATACATGATCAACTCCAAATACATGACGTTCTTCTTTCAAAGATGACTAACTAAATAACGTATATATGGAGTTTAGCGTCAATTTGACCAAAGAAATTAGGCTAGGTTTGGCATAGTTATAGAGTTTGACATATATTTTGAGTTGACAATAAAGTCGCAATCGGCACCTCATATATGCCTATGTAATTTAGAGACGATGATGCCTGATTTCCTTAACCGGCAGGAACCTGGCAAACCCCCTCCTGGGGATTCCTGGATCCGCTCCTGGTAAACTGGTTTCTTATTTTCAAAACATCGGCACTTATTATTTAGCACTCAAACTAAATGCCAGATTAATATAGCCATTCATAGTTGACCAAGTTTTCAGTTTCTTTTTTTTTTTTCTTTTAAATTGATTTTTAAATGGTTATAACTTGTCAATTACAACATGACCATTTATTTATTGACTATAAATTCGAAAAACTAAGGCGCATTATTGTCTTAATATTTGAAGATAATGATTTATAGTATACGACACGCTGTTATGGATGTAAAATTATAATAACGCATATGTAATGCGACAGCGACGAATCTTTTTCTCGAAACGTGACGTCAGTCGATTACTCTATGTCGTGAGACCATCAGTTCCATGTTCAACACTACTAAGAAACCCCAATTAAAAGCTACTGATTATTTTCCCCAATCGCTAAAGTTTCCAGCCAATCAAAGAATGCGAGCGCGCTGGCTCCGCCTCCCAGCTCATTATTTATTTCGCGCCGTTTTCGTCACGTGATTCCCAAATCTCGTGAATTCTGCGACTGATTTATACTCACTGCTGCCATTTGCACATTGGCGTTACTATTATGTAGATATCAGTGATTGCAGCGGCTAAACAAATTTTCAACTTTATTTATTCAAGACCTAATTTATCATCGGAAACAAATATTGGGGTAAGTACGCTATTCTGATAAACCTACTCATATAACCGATTTATCAAATGAAATGAAAACGAATAATGTACAATAACTTGTCTTGACTCTTAATTAAATAACCGATTAACAACGACAAACCCCACATCAAAATTTGAATATATAAATTGGATTACATTGTCGTGTTCAATCGCTATAATAATAGAATTATAAAAACCCGGGCGACTGTCTTTTAAAACTTGATCTGTTGTGTTACGTATCGGTAGGCCTATTGGCTTGCAATACATGTAGCTATTGCTGAAACGGTAAACGGAACTTTGAGAATATAATAGGACCTCACCTAATCTAACTAATGTAGTCTTTATGCATAAAACACTATGCCAAAGCTAAATCTGCCTCAACCGAGGCTAATATCTTGGTTTAGGGTGTGGCAATTTTACTGAACATTTCAGCATATTCTGTTAAAGTTATCTTATTTAACTATTAGTATAAGGAGAACTGTCAACTTTTTATCCAATCTCCTTTAATCCCCCTTCAATACTTTCCCAATATTCTCATGCGTTACCGGTACTAGTCTTTAGTCCTGATGATAACATTAAATTATTAGGCTGCTGTGTGCACTGTGTAAATAAATTTATTTAAACTACAGCTTTTGCCTTTACTTTGATAAGATTGCATTTTCTAAATCCACAAAAAAATTTCATTCAGTTAAAGAAAGTAGCCTAACAATGGGATTTAATGTCTTACATTTCTACACCACAGTTAAATGAAGGCCCCTTTTGATAATCTGAGTTTTACCAGAGAAAATTCAATTAATTTCCCCATTTCATTGAATCAATGAATATCATTTCCATACCTATCAAAGATAATACTAATAATAGGGAATGTTTAGTAAATCATCTAAAGCCACTGGACAGGCCCAAAGTATTTGATGATTCACACAACATATATATAAACAAGAGAAAAACCATGTTGAGCGCACTCAGCAAGCATGATTGACTTCACTTCAATTTGGACTATTCACAAATTTCACATAAAATAAATATAGAAATTACAATTTTAATTTTTTTCTTATGTCAATGTAAATTAGTTTACACATTCATATGAAATAGGCATAATGGCAGATTAGATAAATAAGCTGACAGTTCTCACTATGATGGTTAAGGTAAAGAGAATATACTGAATTTTCAGACAAATTCCTCTGTTCTGAACCAAGATATTAGCGATTGACATTTATGCATAAACTAAAACATAACTAAAGTCAATAAAATAAAAACAAACCCTTGATTATTCATTTTAATGTTAAATCTTCCAACACAAAATGTACTCAAAATACTCAAATCCAATAAATATCGCAGCTGATCGGCAGCATTTAGTTGATTATGTTTAAATTAACATCCTTTTCAACCCATTTTTGTCCATTTTAAATTTTCAAATATAGCCTATAAAATTTGTAATGGTATATCTTGAGTACGTATAAGCTATAAGCCTATAATCCAACTTGCATGACAAAATTCACGATGACATATATCAATCTTCATTAGCCCTGACAGTGCAAAAAAGAGGATGTTGAACCATTTCATTTAGAACAATGTAAAGAATGTTGTGTAGGACTTAATTAAGTTTACCAATATACCACCAAATATTTTAAATCAAAATATTGTAGATGTCAGAAAAATGTAAGACTTTAGAAAAACATATTGAAAGTTTCAAGGAAAAGCATGCTAACAAAGGAGATAATTTTGAAATGATGATAAGAGCTGCAAAATATGATGTAATCGTAGGAGATAAACCTGCATTAGAACGTGATTTGGATGTATTAAAGAATGAATTATCTGTATACTGTAGAAACATAAATGCATTTATAGCACAGATAAAAAATGATTGCAGTGGGATAAGTAATGAAACAGAAGTTACTGACAAATTAGTGGTTGAATTGCGTAAGAATTGTAAGTCATTAGAAAAGAAATTAGCGGAAACACGAGATGAATTGGATGAGTCCGCAATGATTAAAATGTTGCAAGACGAAACGCCAATAGCATCAACACCGAAAAGAGACGACGAGAGTACAAGTAGAGAAATTCAGGAAAAAACAATTGACAATTCAGCTATTGAACTGAATGAACTGTCTGATGAAAATCAAGATAGATCAGTATTTCAAACAGAAAGTCAGAATACTGCAGTAGATTTGTTTAAGAGGAAAGCATCTTGTGAGAAAAATGCAGAAGAACCATCTAAAAAGGCAAAAAGATAACACTGTATACATGTTTTCTATTTACAGTGTATGAGTGAGGAAAAGAAAGACAAAAGTGGCCACCCCAGCCTGTCGGTGGATGAGAATGAGATAGAGGAAGTTGGAAAAAGGGAAGTAGATATTGAGACAGAGGAAACAGAGGTACTTGGGCTTGACAAACATTTGTCAAGCAGTTTAAGTAAATTGAGCATGGATGAGGAGCCAACAGCCATGGATAGAATTTTGAAATTGCTGACAGAACTTGAACAGAAAGTAGACAAGAACACAGAGGCAATAGAGAAAAGCAGTAAAATGAATCAATTGAATGTATCCTTGCAGCAGCAGGTACAACAACTCACGGAAGAAAATGGAATTTTACGATCAGAAAACAGAAAATTGAAAGAGAGAAAAGATGAGGACAAATTTGCAATGAAAAGCTCACATGGAAAAAAAAGAATAGTTTCATTCAATGAAGAGCCTATGGATGACGACAGTTTGTCACCTAAAGTCTAGCTTGAAAAGTATTCCTGATGAAACTGTACATGCATGTAGATCACCAAGTACCAATACTCAGGCACAATTGTCTGCAACGGAATTAGTAGAGCAGAGTTGTAACAGAATGAAGAGAGGTTTGAAAAGAATGGGAAGTACCGACAGTATTAGCAGTATTGGAAGTACAAGTGGAGTTTCTGGAAAAGATTTCAGAATATTGAAAGATGGAATGAAGATGGAATTGGACAGTAAATGCGCATTGATAGGGGATAGTAATTTAAAGCCATTTACCACAAGTAAACAGTTGGTAGAATGGGTAAGAGAGGAAGGTGCCATCATAAGATGCTATGGCGGAATGACAGTATCAGAATTTCTCAAGAATAAGAAAACCTGCATACCTGAAAATGGGAAAGTGAAGCATGTCATTTTGAATTTAGGAAGCAATGATCTTAGCAGCTGCTCTGATGTGTTGGAAGAATTGACAAAAACAGGGGATGAAAACACAGTAGAAGAAATTTTTGAGGTAATTGCTGGTCAGATCGTATCTGCAGCGAGAGTTTATATGGACTTGAGAAAGAATGTTGGTGTCCTTTTGCCAGGACATAGAAAGGGGTTGAAAAAAGAATATGTAGTGAGACTGAATAAGATATGTAAAACGAAATTGGAAGATCTTGGAATTGATTATGTGGATGTGGCAGAAGATATGGAAGATAATGGAGGAGTAAGAGTATGTACAACAGGGGATGGTATACATTTCAAGTTTACATATGTAACTAGAATTGTAGGTATGTTGTTTAACAAAATGGGATTGGATTTTGAATTACCTACAGAGGCCCTGGAAGTTAGTTGGTCAAGGACACTAGCAGGACTTTGTATGAGATGTGGAAAAGACAGACATTCCAGACTGACATTTTGTAATGTAGACTCTGAATGTGCATGTTGTGGAAAAGATGGACACAAGGAAAATGTGTGCAGGTCGCGGTTTGAGCAATGTCAGGGATGTGGAAAGTATGGACATTATGTATTTAAATGCCCGTGGAAAAGAGACAGGAAGATGTAAATATTTGAAATAGTGCAGCATAATGTATGAAAGAAATGAACAATATGGAAATGTAGAAAAAAAGGGATGATAGAATGAAGGGAATTGTTGGGGGTGATGGTTTTTCACTTTTCAGAAAAAAAAACATAACCAATTACTTCATTTATAATATAAATATAATTAAATCTATAGTGTTCATCCTGAATTATTACAAAGTCATAACAGTGTGCACTGTGCACTTCATTAAAAAGTGAAACATAATGAAAAAAAAACCACATGATATTGACAGTTTTATTTGCTAAAGTGAAAAACGACCACCCTAGGAATAGGTAGGGAACAATGCAGGAATTCTTTCAATGAAAATACAAAATTTCTTCTATGCTTGTATCAAATAATTAATCATATATTCAACTTAAAATTGACATGAAATTACCAACATTCTTATCCACTTAAAATTAACAAGCTTTCATATTCCAATATTTTGAAATTGAACCCTGCAACCTAATCAAAAAATACTTTGGAATTAGATACAAAAGCTAATCTCTGATTTCTTTTAGCTAAGATCTCCTGCATTGTTATAGGGGTAGCTGTAGGGGAGAAGGGAGGCTACCATTTTTTTTCAGATTATTAAAATTCTTTCAAGATCAAATAGAATTTGTATTCATACAAATTCGTACAAATCTGGTGGACTTTTAAAGCAGCTACATACAATGTATATCAGAAAACTGAAGAGAGATTTGTTCCGATGGATGTGATGGCATATACTGTAAGTAACTGAAAAGAAAATTAAAGCTCAATAAATCTAACATACAAATTTCAGCTTGAGCCTTTTAAATGACAATTTTGCTCACTCAAATGTTAGTGTTGAACTCTTTACTGCTGATGTAATTTATCACACACAAATGCAAATTCAACAAAAGTTTCGGGAAAAATTATGCAAGACTTAGAAATAGAGCTAATTATTCTTCCTGTAACGGTTCAAAAAGTCATAATGTAAAATGAATAATTTGAAAATTTTATTCAAATTTCTCTATTGCGGACAAAGATATTAGCCTTTGATGGTTTGACAAGATGTGTACATGTATAATAGTGCAATCAGCGTTTTGGTTCTTCAAAGTTAGTCACACTCCTTTATTTTTAGATTATATCAAAATATGCCTGAACCATTTTAATCTTTTTAATATTGTAGAAATTCAATGCCATCGATAGTACCAAGAGATGTAAATATTTGAAATGGTGCAACATATGTATGAAGAAAATTAACAGTATGGAAATGTAGAAAAATGGATGATAGAATGAAGGGAAATTGTTGGGGCTGATGATTTTTCACTTTTCAGAAAAAAAAACATAAGCAGTTATTTCATTTATAATATAAATATAAGTAAATCTATAGTATTCATCCTGAATTATTACAAAAAGTCATAACAGTGTGTACTGTGCACATGATATTGACAGTTTTATTTGCTAAAGTGAAAAACCACCACCACAATGCAGGAATTCTTTCAATGAAAATACAAAATTTCTTCTACGCTTGTATCAAATAATTAATCATATATTCAACTTAAAATTGGCATAAAATTACCAACATTCTTATCCACTTAAAATTAACCAGCTTTCATATTCCAATATTTTGAAATTGAACTCTGCAACCTAATCAAAAAATACTTTGGAAATAGATACAAAAGCTAATCTCTGATTTCTTTTAGCTAAGGGCTCCTGCATTGTTGTGGGGGAGTAGGGAGGCTACCATTTTTTTTTTTCAGATTATTAAAATTCTTTCAAGATCAAATAGAATTTGTATTCATACAAATCTGGTGGACTTTTAAAGCAGCTACATACAATGTATAGCAGAAAAGTGAAGAGAGATTTGTTCCAAGGGATGTGATGGCATATACTGTAAGTACATGTAATGGAAAAGGAAATTAAACCTCAAAAAATCTGACACACAAAAGTTAGCTTGAGCCTTTTAAATAACATTTCTTTGTACACTCAAATGTTAGCGTTGAAGACTTTACTGCTGATTAAATTTCTCAGACAAAAATGCAAATTAAACAAATTTTTAAGAATGAAAATTGAGACTATATAATTGAATGCATGTCGGAAACCGAAATGTGCTTCAATAAAATTGACATCAATAATGTTGACAATTATATTGCGCATGTGTGGGCCGCTTAATTCTCACTCCTTTATTTTTGAATTGTATCAAAATATGGCTGAACCATTCTAATCTGTTTAATATTGCCATCGATAGTTGATTATGGTCTAAATCAGTTAATTATTGTCTTAATTGATAATTTAGGAAACATTTCGGCCTAAAGAAAGATCTGTAATAGGCAGAGTTTCACTTACATAATGTGTCTTTAAATTTAAAGTCTTTCAATGGGGCAATAGTTTTACTGGGGATAAAATTCCATTTGAGGAAAGATATACATACTTATATGCAAGACACTGTTGTACATAAATTGTTTCATGTTTCTAATTTTTTTATTTCAATTTTTTCTTTTACAAGCAACTATGCATGATGTTCATGGATTGGAGATGACTTTATTAATATATGGTGAATATGTACTACAATCAACAAACATAAATTAAGGTAAATGCTATGAACATTTAGATATATATAATTTATTCTAACTTTGCATCTTTTAAGTTCACATATTTTAAACTGCTCTTGTACTTTACACCTAATAAATTTTTACATATGTTGTCAAACTATGCCTGTTTTAAAAACTACATTTAGATTTTTTTTATATTATAGGATTCAGATAATAAACAAAGAAACCAGCTTTTGTGGCACTTAGCTAAAAGTCATGTAAAATACAGAGAACAGTAAAAATACTGAGAAGAGTAAATAATCCATGTAGATGTAAGTAACAATTATAATTGTTATCCATATATAGTAAAATCAATGCCAAATGTCATTCATGTTTTACCTAGGATCAGCTTTGTTGAAATCAAGCAAGCTATTATCTTTTCTGGAATTCCATAATACACTCATTGGAACCCATTTATACATATAAGCGCACATGTGCTCGTTTATCAACCCCACCTGACCAAACTGATGAAGACAGCCATGTAATGTTCCATCAAATCTTGTGCACACAAAGCACTACATTGCAAACATGTTATAACATGCATACCAATGTAGAAGGTTACATTAAAGTCATTTACTTTCAGAAAATTCCAATAAATACTGTTACTGCCCTTCATCAATTTAAAAAAATCTTGTTGACACTTTAGAAGCAAATGTTATCATCCAAATGACTTGAAATATATACTGTTTCTTTTGATGAAATAAAAAAGTCGATTAATTTTCAAATTCCCAATAAGTACTGGAAGAGTTATGTCCCTTGATCGGTTTAAAAAATCTTGGGTTTGTTGAGGATTCCTATACATAAGATAGCAAAGTAAACCAACACCTTAATTAGGGTTTCACACTGCGTAGCTTGTGTGAAACACTATTGTTTTTGTTAAAATTATTATTCTTATTATTATTATTCAGATTCCAATTTGAATAGATCTCAGCAACTACGTGTCGCATCGTTATGATTTCTTCGGTTTTACTGGGAAAGTGGGTGTGACTTAGAGGATAAAGCTATTTTGAACGTTCTGCGACAATGCGAAATGTCCGAAATCACCAAATTATCGTTTTTTAAAATATTGCAGTAATTTTAACAATAATCATTGAATTTTAACTTTCGATACATTTTGGCATAGCTGGAGACAGGGCACATAGCTACGCTACTTTCGATTTTTGATTTTCGGCAAATCTTCGAAGATATTAGGCGCCAAATTTCGAAAATTTAAAATTTTACAAAAAACTTTTTTATTTATGAATATTTTTTAGTCGTATTGTGCACAGAATTAAAGAGTCATCTGACTAGTGCAAAAATGTTAAAAAATTTTGTCTCAGTAATTTTCCTTGGCCGCCATTGGCTAATTCAGTTTTTCAGTCCTAGATTAATTTTTTATTGATCGATTTGTATAAAACAAAGTTCATATGCTTCGTTGTCTCAATTGTCATTTTTTTTATTACCGGAAGTGTTATCTGTCAGCACCGGAAGTGGCATAATTTTACCAAAAACTACAATTTTGACAGTTAGGTACCATTTTTCGAAAACAAATATTATTTTTTTGAAAAATTATTTGACTCAAAGAGTGTGCCCTTTCAAGGCGCAAAAAATGTCGGAAGCAGTTTTTTTAATTTCGATTTCATTTTCGAGCAAATTCGATTAAATGGCTAAAAATGGTGTAAAATTGACCTATTTACAACCTATTCAGGCTTTTCAGATTTTAAAATATTTCTTCGTAACTTTTATAAACTTGTAGCTATAATCCATACGAAGAAAATGTATGTTAAAATTAGTTTGTAATATAAGCAGTTCCCAAGAAATGGGTAGTTCTGTACAAGTCACTGTTTTCGTTATTTTGCCTGTAAAATAGTCAATTATTATTGGATTTTTATAAAAGTGACATCATTTGATTCAAAAAGCATGTAGTGTCATATCAAGTTGATTACAATTTAAAATTGACACCGGAAGTGACGTCATTTGGTCAAAAACTGCATTTTAAACTTTTTAAATCAATGTTTTATTCAACCATGAATAACTTAATATGTATTAATAATTTTAACTTTTGGTTTAAATTCACATATAAATACAACTCATATGGTCATATAGATATCATAAAATTGTTTCTAACTTGTTCGGTTGCCGAGAAATAGACGGTTTTCTACAGGTCACTTTTGAAGGTTTCGGGGCCATAAAAGTGTCAATTGTTATTCGATTTTCATAAACGTTACACCATGTTATACCTAATGCCATTTGTGATTTCATACAAATAATTTAAGATTTTCATTATCATCGGAAGTAACGTCATTTTGGCAAAAACTGAATTTTTAGCCTTCAAAACAGATATTTTATTCGAATGAGTCTGTTTTGAAATCTTTTTCAAATTATGGTATTTGATGCCAATCAACAAATAGAATGAACCCATACGATCATACAGATACCAAAAAATAGTTTCTAACTTGTACGGTTGCAGAGAAATAGCAGATTTTCTACAAGTCACTTTTCAAGTTTTTTGGTCTTTAAAAGTGGCAATTATTATTCGATTTACATAAAATTGTCACTATATGATATCGTATGCCATTTCTGATTTCATAAGACTAATTGAACATTTTCATTAACACCGGAAGTAATTTAATTTTGTCAAGATCATTTACAAGTAACAAATGTATAAAATGACTTGATATTGCTGGATTGATTGATTGATTCTACGTCCATTTTATTTGTGTGCAATGTTAATTTGGAAACCTGTTTAGTGGTTTCGTTGGTACCGGAAGTGACATATGTTCAAGTGTAACTTGGCACCGAAAGTGACATGTTTAAGAGTAACTTGGCACCAGTGAAACCCGTCATTCCTGCATGCAGGTCTAGTTTACAATCTTTTTACCAAAAAAAGAAATTTTTCTGCAGATGTTTTATTTCTGCAGATGTTGTTTTATTTCTAATTTGTTTAATTTTTTTTTCAGATTTTGTTGTTTTGCTCATCCTACTTTTCTGAAGATAACAAGACACCAAGAAATTATGCCAAACACTTCTCAAAGTCCATGCTTTTAGAATAAAGACAGTAATTCTTTTAAAAAAATTGTTGTGTTAATGTGAATGAAATGTTGTACTGATAGCAGTCCTACAACCCAGTTTAATTTGACAAGCCCTCCACATAAACTGGATCAAAGCAACAATATGGACTGTATATTGCTGCTAAGGTGTATTGCTGCATTAGGATTCTCTTTACGTCGTGTAGTGCACATTTCTTAATGGATCGTCTTTAAACTTGGGTTATGTATTCCTTATAGCCTCAGGATAACTGCTTAGCCGACTCCCAGGTCGCAATTCTTAATGAAGCCGCTCGGTACTTGGCATATGTATTCCTTATTGCCTTAGGGAGTCCACTATTGATTTTGGTGAATGTCTCAACCCCCAGGAGCAGAGTCACGCCCACTTTTTGCCTTTGGAATGTGAAAGGCACAATTCTGAATGCATTATCTTGGTATACTTATTAATAAGTTATACTCTAAGGACAGGAACTATTGATGTTGATGCACGACCCTCAACGCTAAACAAACCAAAAGCCTAGCCTTCTTGACAAAGTACCTTGTCAATCAAAGCAGAATTGGAATGTGGACGTATATTGTAGCGTTAGCGTTATGTTTTGTTGAATAGTTAGCGTTAAATCTGCTAAAATGCCGACCATAGCGACAATTTGTCTATTTGAGAATTTATAAGAATTTCATTAGCATCCAATTTGTCACAATCGTAGCGTCACGTGTCCAGCAAGTACGTCATCGTGTTACCCCACTTACTAATGTTGTAGAGGGGTCTGGGGGTCGTTGCAACAAACAATCCAGAACGGGTTCAAATCTTTATTATAGCATAAACCGGGCAAGTAATAAAAACCCTGCAAATATACAATGCAATATAAGTTTTCCAAAATAAAAGAGAATATCAAAATACAAACATCATAAACACATTATCTAACACCATTACTACAGCACACAAATAAATCTGTGCTACAAAGTAAATTACTGTTTGCAACAAATAGTAAATGGTACCGGTACTTTAACTAAACTACTCTATATTTACATTCTAAACTAACTTACCCGAAGTGCGGTTTTAAATACTTAGATTAGCTAAATGTAATCAATCTAACAACCTGAAATAGGATGATATATATATAATGTGTGAATGTATGTATCATGTATGCAAATAAACTTTACCAACTTGATCCATAAAAACTAACAACTTCAGTATTAAAATATCAAACTACAGAGTTAAAGATACAGCTTATATGATCAGTAAAACATAATGCCACATACCTGGTAAAAAACTGCAATTCTTTACAAAAACTTCACAGAAATCAATCTCCAAAAACTAAACTTAGACACTACTTTCTTAAAGCTCCTCTTTGAAACAAAGATGGTTAACAACTGAATGTATCTACCAACAAATACATCACATGACCAAGACACAATGAAACTTAGTTAAATGTACTCACTATTATTAAAGTAACAACAGCTTAAAGAAACTGTCAGAAGACATGTAAAATCTTAAAGTGGGGTTTAAAGGTGCTTACTAACATGTGCTGTACTAAAAACATCAAAAATTAATATACACAAAAAATTGTAAAAAACATTCTATTTTACCACCTGTAACACTAAGTAATGAAATGGAATGAAATTTAACTTTAACGTCCTACTTTTCTGCACCGACTGAGCCAATGAAGACAGGTGTACCGTCCGTGATATTCGCGGAAACTGAAATTGCTTAATATCAATTTAATAGTACATTATAATTAAAATCATGATTTCAAATTATCCTTGATAAAAAATTTTTTGAATAAGGGCCATGATTTATCATTAAATTAAAGAATAAACAAAATCAGAGTCGCTTTATGAATAAATTAGATATCGTTTAACAATAAAATATTTCCACGTGTTTTAAACTACAATTATTATACAATTCCTAGAACAAAATTGGATTAATTCCACAGAAAATGTTTGAACCGAAATCTGAATAACTGCAACTTCGACTAGATTATCTTTTACTAATACGTCAGGCTTGCTCATACGTCACTCATTTTCTGACGTCAATTAGTTCTCGATGAGTATATCAAAACTGGAATGCGACGTGACGTCGGAATGGCGGTATGAAATTAGATTGAATTTCACTGTTAATTTTATTTAAAGATGTTTGTGTTACAATTGTTTTAAATTATTTTATTGCTTGTTATTGTTTTGTTACATAAATGAAATTTTTCATCTTTATAATATTTAGAAATAAAATATTTAATTAAGACAACTATGAACTTTGTTTGTTTTTGTTTTTTTATATAATATAGCTAGGAAATGAATGAAATGTAATAGGGTTTAACGTCCAACTGTTCTGCTCCTAAACTGGGCTAATGAAGACGGGCATACGCCATACAGTGTGCTATGAGGGAAATTTTGCCCGGGCAGCGGCGCTACGGTCTACTCTTATATCGAATTCCAACTGCCAAGGGATCCTTTACGTGCACGCCAATATGTAGCCGAGACCAATATAGCTAGGGGAGCAACGGTGGGCCATGCGTAGGGCACAGACTACCTCAACAGGCGGCCCTGCGTATTGTCCGAAAAAGTACCTCAGGTTTTTCAGCGTAGTTTCCTCGGTGGCATCGGTGGTCCAGGACGAGGCCCAGCAAGGAATAACATCTGGTCGTTGGCATGCACGTAAAAGAACCGGTAATATTATTTATTTCATCGGGTATCGTAATTTCTTGGAATTTATCTGACAAAGAATCAAGATTTTAAACATTTGAATAGGTAATATTCAGCATTTTGCGCGACATAAGGTACCATCATTTTTTCGGGGGGGGGGGGGGGGAATGTATACTGTCTGGTGATTGGAATTCAGGTAGGCATAGGGTGGGATTTTGGTTAAAAACTACTGTACTCTCTGTTTGAAATAGCAGAAATACGTGTTTGCGGCTGTCTAATCTTCATAATTCTTCCATTTCACATCTGCCCTTCCGTCACCCCTACAAAAATATGGAATTCAGGTAGATACAGAGTGGACATGTCACATAACTTAACTGCACTCACGAACCGGAATGGCAGGTTTATGTGTTTTCTTGTCTAATTTTCAAAATTACTGGCGCCGTGCTTTCGGGCATTTTTATGTCTGTCCACCTACGACTTATCGCCAATCGGGCACTTTGTTAATCTATAGGTCATTTCCGAACGCATCATGGCCTTGATCTTAAATAATCTAAATAGGATATACCAGCTGTCTAACAACAAATATTTGTTAGACACTTGAAATATAAGGTCATACACTGCCACGCTGCGCGACACGACTTTGGATGATATTGAGTTAGAGACTTGGCTACTTTAATGCGTCTTTATTAGTCTAGTCGGAGTAGAACACTAGCATGTTAAACCCATTTCATTTCCGATCGCTATTTAAGTGTTAACATTATCCTAGCCCTGGTTTGAACATAATCCATTGACAAGTGATTCTTTACCGCTAAAATGACGCATAGGAAGCAATGACAAATTTGAGAAATGTTTATAATTTTTGAAAACTTTTTTATTAACGGACGATTTTTGTATTAAACGTTTCATGACTTCAACTTTAAGAAAGTTTGTAATAATAATACTGAGGGCCATGGGAAACGCATCACTTTTTTTCTCAAATATTTTATTACTAGGTGGTTTTATATGTATAATATTATGCAATATTATGAACTATTGTTTCACACAATGCTCCCAAACGCAAAAAATATCGGCCCGTGTGCACAAAAAAAAATTGCACGAGATGCACATGAAAAACCCAATATTCACGTGCAGCATTGTGTGTGAGCCCTTTAAAAGCATGTTTTCAACTTAATGTGCAGTACATGAACTGTGAAACGTCAATCTGTCGTAATTTGGTGTTGGACGTGTGAAGGAATCGAGCTAGAGATGCCGAGACTTACTGAAAATCAACGGAATGAAGCCATGGGAATGTCCAGGGCTGGCATGTCTACACCTGCTATTGCCAGACACTTCAATTGCCATCAGTCCACTATTGTAAGGTTTGTGGAACGTGTTCGAGTTACTGGATCAACAAGTGACCTTCAACGTCTTGGTTCACAACGCGTTACAACCCAGGCTCAAGACCGTTACATCCGGGTCACTCATCTGCGTGACAGATTCCGCCCAGCGACTCGAACAGGTGCAGCAGTCGTCGGAAGACAAGGACCAGTAAGTGCCAACACCGTAAGACGTCGTCTAAGAGAAGTAGGACTCAGTATCACGCTGATGGCCGTCAACGTGTGTGGAGACGTCTTGGGGAACGTCTTGCAGACTGCTGCGTCTCCCAAACGAATCGGTGGGGTGGGGGAAGTGTAATGGTGTGGGGAGGCTTCACATTTCATCACCGGACCGCCCTACACATTTGCAGGGGTCACGTTAATGCTGTAGCCTACCGTGATGATGTCTTGCAACCAATTGTTGTTCCGATGTTTCGAGCGCACCCACAACTTCAGCACTTTCAACAGGATAATGCACGTCCGCATACCACCCGTTTTAGTAAGGACTACCTGGCTGCTAACAACATCAATGTCTTGGACTGGCCAGCCATGTCTCCGGTCATGACACCGATAGAACATGTCTGGGATGAGATTGGACGCCTCTGTATTGGAGACCACAGATGCAACCATTGCTGCTTTAGAAGCTGCTCTTGTCCAAGAATGAACAATTTGCCCCAGGCCTTCTTTCAAACATTGGTAAATTCCATGCGACGTCGCTGCACAGCGTGCGTAAGAGCCCATGGAGGACACACGCGCTACTGACATCTGTGTCGTACTTTTGGTTTTGACCCCTCTGACTTTGTACTGTTGATTACAGATTAAACATCCATAAGTGTACAAATGTGTTGTTATGGATGTGTTCCCATTTGAATATTGTTCACAATAAGAAGTAAAATAAATAAGATATGTTTACAGGATCATTTTGATATACGAAAAACTAAGTGGTTCGTTTTCCATGGCGCTCAGTATATTTCATTAATTAATATCTTTGGCAAGTTGGTAGATTCCCACATATGTAGAATTGTACTTAAATCAACTTAGTTAATAACTGATGGGTTGACACATAAAAAGAGTTATTTAGTCAAAACATGTGTCAATAAAATACCACCAGATT